TCTGTATCTGCTTTTCTTCTGTAGTTATCAATTTACGTTCTTAAAATTTGTGATGAAATGCTTGTTTGAGGCTTGTAAAATCCTTCTCCTTCGAGATCTTTCTGCCCCCTTCACATAACATATCTGACAAAGGTTATACACAGGGCTCAGTTTCCTGAAGAGTTCCAAATGCATGAAATGAGACTTCCAAGTAGAGTTGGGAAGGAAAGTAAACAGCCATTTGAGGAAACAAGGTGGCAGTAAAGAGGTCACTTGAGTTAAAATGGTGTTTACCAGTTCCAAGGAAAGGCAAGCCTTAGGGAGTAAATGCTGGAGCAGTGTGTTGTGTGCCCAGGCTATGGCAAAAAAAAAAATAACCAAAACTCCTTAAAAGCATGGGGATGTGCTCTTCTACCAAACCCTATAAACCATTTCCTCTGTCTTGTTCTGGGTCATCAATTTGAGATTACTGCAGAATGAGTCCTTCAAGCCAAACCTAATCCCCCCCATTAAATAGCTCAAAATAAACCAGGAAGGGGAGCGCAATGTTCAGTTATGGAGGTATTTCTCATTATATCCTCATGGAAACCAGCAATTAACAGCTTAGAGTTCTGTACAGACTACACTCAGACATGCCACCTTTAACCTTGCCCCTCTGAAAGGCCACCAGCATTTCAGGTCATGAATTAAAAATGTAGGGGCAAAACATCCTTGGAAACTGTATAGTAACAAACCACTTGTTCCCAAACAAAGGGAAAAGCCTGGTATTTCAGCTTTCAATACATCAAATATTATATATACTTTTTTGTTCTTGACAGGTCAAGTCTTTCCTAACTTCTTAAGAAGATGAAAATTAATTCAAACAGCAAGTTCCTGAAGTTCAAGATTTAGACTTAACAATCAGTGTGTTCAAGAATTTACTTTAACCAAATGCATTACCTGTATAGCTTATTTTAAAGCAAGACTGAAATGTAAAATATCGTTTGGGTTTTTTTCTTGTCTGACTTGTGTGGGTTTGATAGTTTTCTGTATAGCTAAAACGAAAAAATATGGGGCGCTTCGATAATGTTTTTCCTGTGTATTCTCCACTGTTTAATAAAGATTTAAAAGTCCTACTGCCTGTGAGCTGTTTGTCCCCGCGGGGGAGCTCAGCGGTTGTCAATGGCTGACACCCAGTAAACAGATAGCAGGCGCTGAGCTGGGTTGTTTTGCAATAACTGGCACGGGTTCACCATTTTAAGACGAGACTGTTATGGCGTCCAGAAAAACCTTTACTTTCAACTTCTGCTTAATCGTGTGGCCGTTCCCACCGGCTTTAACGCTACTTAAGACTGGACGTTAGACCTGTAATAAACTGTAATTTGCGCTTATCTCGTTTACGATCTCACCCTCCCAATCCCCCCCGCACACGAATTCCCCCCAACCCAACCTTCCCCCCCCCCAGCGCGGGGAGGGACCCGCGGGCGCGGCGGAGGCGGGACAGCGACCCCGGAGAGCCCCCCCCGGCCCGGCCCCGCCCGCACGACGCACGCGGGGGGTTGAGCTGCGCACGCGGCCGGGCCGAGCCCCCTCAGCGGCCCCGCCGCCATGGCGGGGCCTCCGCGGCACCTCCGGGAGAGACCGGCCTCCCCTCCCTCCCCCCCAATCCTTCCCTCCCGGCCCCTCTCCTCCCCCCCGCCGCCGCCGGGCCTTACCCAAGCCGGGGATCTCGCCCTCGGTCTCCTCGGTGTGACAAGGGTCCATCTTGGCCGCGCCTTCCCCGCAGGGCCCGTGAGAAGAACAAAGCTGGGCGGAGGTGGGGAGAGGAAGCGGGGGGCGCTCGGGCGCTGCGCGACAAACGGAAACAAAAAAAAGCTCAGCGGCGACCGGGGAAGGCGGATCGCAGCGGCCTGGGTGGTTTCTGGGCGCTCCCGGCGGGGATGGGGCGCGATGCGACCGCGGAGCGCTCCCGATGCCGTCCGCTCAGCTCCGAATGCGCAGCGCCCGCTCCGCGCCTATAAATGGCCGCCGGCCGCGCCGCGCCGCGCGCTGACGTCACACGCCGCCCGCCCCCGCCAGCCAATGGCCGCGTGACAAATTGAACACGGCCAGTCACGTCCGGCCCCGCGCGCGCGGCGGGGGGGGAGCGGCGGATGGGGGGGAAGCGCGGCCGCCGCGGGGGTCCCGCGAGCCCCCCTCCCCAGGGGACCCGGATCGAGTCCCGCCTGCCCCAGTTCGAGTCTAAACCCCCCGTCTAGCCGCGGGTTCGAGTCTCGCCCCCGCCCGTCCCGCTCCCTCGGACATGGCGGTGGCCTTGTCCCTCCCTCCCCGTCCGCCCCGCCGATCCACCCCCCCCAGCCCCGCTTCGTCCCCGCTCTCCCCCCGGTAGCCCCCGCTCACGGCGAGCTGCGGCCGCGGGGCTGCGGCGGCGATCGACGGCTCCGCGCACTGCGGCCCCGCCCGCCGCCCGTGTCAGCTGGGCCGGCCCCGCCTCCCGCCGCCGCCGGGCCTGCGCGGGCCGGGCCGGGCCGGGCCGAGGGTGTGGGTGCAACAGAACCCCCCGGGCCGAGCTCAGGGACTGCGGGTGGTGGGGCTGGGTTTGGAGCAGAGGGTTCCTGCGCTGGAGCTGCCGCTGGGAGTCCCCGGGTGGCGGGTGGGAATGGCCACTTCCCACATGGCCTCCGCACCCTCAGTGCGCTCCCTCACAACCTGACTGAAACCCTCCACAAGGAATCGTGAGCTGGAACAGCTTCAGGTTAAAATAACTTGCAAGGGAGCGGTTGAGCAGATAAGAGGTGACCTTAGGACTGTGGAGGTGTGGCGTCTGCTCACAGCTTTGTTTAGTGGTTAGTGTGAAGCAAATCCCTTTGCTAATCCCTGCTGAAGCCTTCTCAATAGTGAGAAAATGCTATTTTTTTTTTGGCTTCTTATAATGTATGTTAATAATCATACACGGGGGTACATTTACTATGTGTCATTTTATTAGTTTTGATTGGACTTTTTAGTCCCCATTACTGCATTTGGAAAAGGACAGAAAATGGGGTTTCTGTTGTTTATGCATCACGATCCAAATGGCTAAATGGCTTTAAGAGGACTGTAGTGGCTGACTTGCTATCTAATTTTCAGTAATAAATAAAGCCTGGTTTGCCCAATATTTTCTTGATCTTATGTTTGTTGTAGTCAAAGAGCATTCTGATGTAAGTTTTCTCTTTAGATTTCTCTTAGGAAATTAAAGTCATCCTGTGTTCACACTGACAAGGAGCTCTGCTACATGAATATCCTCCCAGTGCTAGAAGAAAGGTCATATGAGGGGTTTTCTTTTTTGCAAGTATGTAGCTGTTTTGAAGCTTAGACAAAATCCAGCCAGCCTTTGACACATCCAACAGGAAGTTTGGTATAGGGACTTCCAGGGGAAGAACGTGACTGTGAACAGCAGAGGCAAGCAAAGACATAAATAGTCATCAAAGAGATATAATTAGACAATGTATATGCAGTGTTTGAAAGATGAAAATAAATAACAATTCAAGTGGAGTTACTGCTAAGAACAGCAGCCCTTTTCCTCAGAGGCCCAGAATGGTAAGTGCTTTTGCAAGTGGGGGTGGTCTCATGGCATGTGAGCACTTGTAGAGAATGGGACAGGAGATAAAAATCCTGCTGGAAACATTGATACAGGATTTTATTAGGTTTATTGCTTCCACGATTTCTTCTTGGGCATCATGTTTACCTAGCTTTTTGTTTCATGGTGCCAGCCTGACACCTGCACCTTCCTCTCCAGCAGACCCAGTTGAACTCCAGTGTGTCTGTCTCAGCTCACGCCGCAGCTCTGGGGACGTGTTTTTCTCTGAGAGGGCTTTGTTCTACTTCAGAATTTCCTTGTTTCGTGCCTGCGAAGGGGAAAGGCACACCTGCCGTCCAGACAGCAGGGGAGGGGAGCTGCTCTCATTTTCCATTCGCGTCCCCAAAAGATACATTTCGCCTCTTTCAACCTCCGGGGAGGGAGGGCTGTAATCCAAGCCGAGCTCAGCCTGCTGGGTGTTGTAGTCCATCTGAGAGAAAATGGCCAAGACATGGCCTCCTGATTCGAAACTGCTGGAGAAATGATGTGCTAGGTAGTCACACAGCCCCCAT